GCATTTTTCAAAGTCTGTCGAAATGGCCAGGTCAATTGCCAGACGACCCCAATTTCACCCTCAGTCTCTCTCCCCATCCCTCACTCTCCTCTCATCTCCCCCCTCCCCTTCCCCCCAGACCACAGGCTTTCCTGCGCCCCGCAGCACCCAGTCTTCATTCTTCTGCCAAGTGTTTGCCTCACTTTCTTTCCGAGAGTCCCAAATCTCTGTGACCCCCGTCCTCGCCTCGGCTGCGGGTTCACTTTCCCTGAGATCTTCCACATCACCTCACAACTCAGTATCCAACACTGACGTCATCTTCACTTATTTGGTACATTTACTTCACTTTGTTGTTGTTCTTTTTAATGTTTATCTATTGAGAGAGAGAGAGAGAGAGAGACAGAGTCCAAGCAGGGGAGAGGCAGAGAGAGAGGGAGACACAGAATCCGAAACAGGCTCCAGGCTCTGAGCTGTCAGCACGGAGCCCAACACGGGGCTCAAACCCATGAGCTGTGAGATCATGACCTGAGCCGAAGTTAGACGCTCAAACAACTGAGACCACTGAGGCGCCCCATATTTACTTCACTTTCAAAAGGCATAAAGAAACTTCTAAAATTAAATATAATACAGAATAGGACGGTTTTCCATAGAAAAGAACTAGAAGCCATGGGTAGAAGTTACCAAAAACATCTGACAATGGAGTCCAACGCCTGGCAGCAAAATGAGCCCCTAATCACTGGTGCATCTTCTGAGCACCATAGAGGGAGTTGAGGGTACTGGGTGCTGAGTTGGAGCAGGTGGCCTGGGAACTGCCCTCTTGGGATCCTGTGATTCTCTGACGGTTGGAAACCGAACCGTTAACAGCTCATCTAAAGGGAACACAGGAATTCAAGGCTCCTGAGATGAACTCAATTCAAGTGGGCCCAGTACTAGTCTAAGTTTTGGGTTGCAAAAACTTGAAACCAATTCTGGCTACTTAAGTAGAAAAGGAATCTACTTGCAGGGCTCCAGGACCTCATAATTCTCAGGAAGGCTGGAGATCCAGGAGCAAATGGCCAGGAACCAAGAGAGGGCAGGCAGCCTAGGAAAGGACTCTGGCACCGGCAGCAACCCCAGAAATGAGGCCTGGATGCCGACACCGGGATGGAGCCTAAATAGTCCGTGCTGGTCTATGTCACTTGCTCCAGATTTAGAGCCTGATAACACCTGAGTTTAGGTCACAAGCCCATGCCATAGCCAACAAAGATCAGAGACTATATCTGGCCCTTAAGTCATCTGTACTGGGAAGCCAAACCCCACTCAAAATGCATAGCATGTCTGATTTCCTCAACTGTGGGGAAAGGAGCTTAGTGGCTGAGTAGCCAAAAAATGAGATATTTCCCACAGGGTCATTCTACCACCTCTCTAGATAACCAGAGTTAAAATGGAAATCATAGAGGGTTCCCTGTCTGGCTCAGTCGGAAAAGCATGGGACTCTTGATCTCAGGGTCATGAGGTTGAGCCCCACACTGGGCGTAGAGATTACTAAAAAAATAGACTTAAAAAATTTTTTTTAGTCATTGATTCCTCCTCCTCCCACCCATACTCCAGATCTAATCAGCCTCCAGGGAGTCTGATTAGCTCGGTTCAGTCTTTAACATGCAGCCCTTCTTTCCATTCCAACTGCCGCTGTCTTCATTCAGATCCCTATCACCTTCTCCCCACATTCATAAAGCTGGTGTTCCTCATGTAACTGTGGTTTGTAGTGTGAAGCATTGGGCCTCCTCAGGCCTTCTCCCCGTCTCCACACCCAGGAGACTAGTAGGAGCGGAAGTAAGATTTACATAAATAGGGGCACCTGGGTGGCTCAGCTGGTTGAGCATCCAACTTCGGCTCAGGTCATGATCTCACGGTTTGTGAGTTCAAGCTCTGCATCGGACTCTCTGCTGACAGCCCAGAGCCTGGAGCCTGCTTCATATTCTGTGTCTCCGTCTCTCTCTCTGCCCCTCTTAGACTCGCCTGTGCATGCGCGTGTGTGCTCTCTCTCTCTCTTGAAAATAAACATCTAAAAAAAATTTTTAACACTTACATAAATAAATATGGCAAGTCTGCATACAAGCAAACATACAGCGAGCAATATGCTTTAGGGTGTAGAGGCGAGACAGCATCCCCAAACAGGGTTATCAGTGAAGACTTGAGAAAGATACAGCACTTGAACCAGACTTTGAAGAAGGGATTGGACTTAACATCCAAAGATAACCAAGAGAGGAACCCAGGCAGATGGAGCAGGATAGCAAAGGAAGAAGCAAGAGTTCAGGGCTTGTCTGAGTTGTTGAGTGGCTAGGTCTAACCAGAGAGGACGACAGTGGGCCTCAAGTTTTAGTGTGCGTTGTCAGATGAGCGGATTCCCGAGCTCCACTTCTTTTATTTTCTTTTTTAATTTCTTTAATGTTTTATTTATTTCTGAGAGAGAGAGACAGCGTGAGCAGGGGAGGGTCAGAGAGAGAGGGAGATACAGAATCGGAAGCAGGCTCCAGACTCTGTGCTAGTGGTCAGCACAGAGCCCGATGCGGGGTTCGAACCCACGAACCGTGTGATCATGACCTGAGCTGAAGTCGGATGTCCTGAGCTCCACTTCTGATTCTGTGAAACAAAGCATTCCATGAAGGCAAGGTGTTCCCATACCACCCTTTAAGAAACACTGGTTGGAGTTTGAGTAGAGAACCTGAAAGAAGTCCAGCTGGAAGGTGAGTTGACATCAAGTCAGTAACAGTACTGGAACCTTCATTCTGCTAATCAAAAGTTTTCCCAGTAGGCAGATATCATAACGGTACTCTGAATCTGTTTGCAAAGATCATGAGACACGCAGACCAGGAAGATGGTTTTTTTACAATGAATCAAATGAGAGAAAGAGGGTCTCAAACAGGCAGTCAGGATAAAAAGACAAGTGAAGGGTGGGAGTCGCGCTTCCAAGAATTTGCAGGGCTCAGTGACTGATAGGTGTAAGGAATCAAAAAATGATCAGAGTGATCATATGTATTCGAGGCGAGTGAATGGCTGAAACCTGGTGGTAGCAACCACAGGAATCGAAAAATTCAGAGCAACACCTGCTTTGGGGAGGACTTGAGAAATTGGTCTTGCAGACATGATGAGTTTCAAGTACCACTAAGACACGGGGGCATGAGCAAGAGACAGCTGGAAAATGGAGTTTCGTAGTGCAGTCTGTGCCTGTGACCCAGACAAGAGACTCAGCACACAGCAGTAGACAGAATGGATAGATGTGTCCACGTGGAGAGCGGGGCTGGGAATACAGCCCCAGAGAAAGCACACATGTTAGAAAGCAGGAGAACGAAATGGGGCTTAAAGAGAGCAAGAGAGATGGGAGAAGAAACAAACCAGAAATCCATAAAACCAAATGATACAATGTCCCAGGGGGGGAAAAATACCCAGGAGGCATTGGACAACATAGTCAAGCACTAAGAAGCATCACGAAAGTAAGGACTAAGGAGAGAAAGTTTATCCTTCTAAACAAGGAGACTATCAGTGACCCCTGCCAAGAAGTCAGTGGAGTCTTGGAAGCAGAAGCCAAATCACAGTAAGTTGAGTGAGGGAATGACAGCCCTCAGGACAGAGTAGTGAGTCTCAAACTTTTTGAAGTATGACACTGAAATAAAATTGTAATATTAATCCCTTGTAAAATAACAATAATAGACCCATTAACATATTTTTGTATAAAAATGACTGTGTTCTTTGCGGGGGGGGGGGGGGCTAGGTGGCTCAGTCGTTTAAGCATCAGACTCTTGATTTCAGCTCAGGTCATGTTCTCGCGGTGCGTGAGATCAAGCCCCACATCAGGTTCTGTGCTTCCAGAGCACAGAGCCTGTTTAAGATTCTCTCTCTCCCTCTCTCTCTCAAAAATAAATTCACTAATTAAAAACAATTTGTAACGATATTTTCCAAGAGAAAAAGTTTGATAGAAGAGTCACATTGTGCTGTGTTCTTGCAAATCTCTTTACTGCCTGTCATAACAGACGTCAGATTTTCATACGTGCTTCTGCATTCAATCCCTTGCAATACATTGTTTTGCTTGAAGCACATGCAGAAAGTCCCGCCTCAGCAAGATAGGAAGTTGGACAAAGGACTACACTTGGAGAATCACGGATGCAGAGGCCTCCTTGAGAAGTTCCTTGTGTGGAAGGTTAGAAGAACCAAGAGCAGCTTGCATGGAGGAGAAAGGCGGTTCCTAGTTTTAGGACGAGGGAGAACAACTATGATCCTGGGGAGAAGGGGAAGGCTCCTGGGGGAGCTGGAAATCAATGAATCACAGAGTGAAGGACTGAAACAAGCCCAGCCCCAGGGAGCCGAGTGCTCTCACATACCAATGAAGGTCAATTCTCTGACATGGACATCCTTTTTTTCTAATGGGGAAATTAAGGCTTTTACCAAGTGACCTCTGAAAAACGTAAATCAGATCATGTCCCCCCACTCTGATACCCCATCACTGCACTTCTAGAAATACATGAGGAAACTGGGGGACAAAAAGGAAAGCTAACTTGTGGCAAGTCAGTTAGGGAGATTTGAAGCCAGGCACCGCCGCCAGAGTCTGCACTCCTAACCAGGAAATCCAAATCCCTTACCTTGGCTTACAGAGCCGTAGGTGCTCTTGCCTTCGTCTCCCACCTGTGGCATACCACTCTCCTGTCTTACTGGCTTTTCCGTTTTTCCAAACTGGCGAGCGCCATTTCCCCCAGGTCCTTTGCACAAACCGCTCCCTCTAATTGAAGTGCTCCTCTCCTAGTTTTCACAAGGTTGGCTTCTTGTCATTGATCCCAGCTCAAACGTCACCTTCTCAGGACACACCCCCTGACCATCCGTTAAGAAGCCACCCGGTCACAATCACATCACCCTATTTTAATTTTCTTTAGGGCTCTTAGCATTTTCTTGTTTGTTTTGTTATGGACGCCCGCCCTCAAGTAGTTTAAGGGTTTCCAGATCTGGGAGCTTGTCTCCTTGGCCACCGCTGTGTGTCCGGAGCCTGGGAGGCAGCCTGAATGAACGTGTGTTGAAACAATGAATGACTCCCCCGGAGTGGCCCGGGCGCGAGCGCGCCGCCCGCCAGGCATGCTGGGGATTGTAGTTCCGGGCGCCCCCGCAGTGGCGTGGGCCGGCGCAGGCCGCGCTTTCTATACCCCGGGAGGCAGCCGGCCTGTTGCATGGCGTCTCAGTCCCGCCGCAGGAGGGAGGCGGCCCCGCCGGGCGCTCGCTAGCTTCGTTGGCGAAGCCGGCCGGGAAGCGGAAGGAGTCCGGCGCGGTGGGTCCCGGACCCCGGGGCGGAGCGCGGGGGCGCCCGGAACCCCGGACAGCGGCGGGGAGCGGGGGAAGCGCTTCCTTAGCGATTTGCCGAGTAGAGCCCATCTTCCCACGCCCACCCCCACTGCCTCGTGAGTAAAGGGTCTTCCCCGTCCCCGTTTTCCCGATGGGTCAACAGGCTTGACGAAGCTAAGCGGCTTGCTCGCGTCGCCGTCCCGGGAAGTAGCGGAACCCGTCCTAGAGCCCAGGACTGCCTCGTTGCAGTCACTGGGCAGCTCTGACCCTCGTTTGGGCGCATTCTGGTGAAGCCTGCGTGGGGGGGTCGTTACACACCCCCGGCCCGGCGACCCCGTCGGTGCTGCGGTCTGGCTTGCCACACTTGATGCCGCTCTGCACGGCCCGGCTCGGGTTTGAGTGAGGTCGTAAGCAGGAAAGGCCCCACCACCTTCCACTCAACGTCTGGAAAGGGGATAGATGAGACCATCACATTAGTACATCAGGGCGTGTTGAAAGCAAAGTACGTTCGGTGAGATTCTGTTAGCCTCGTTTAGCCTGTGGCTTCATAGATGTGGAAACAGGTTAAGAGACCTTAAGTAACTGCCCTGGGTTTACAGAGTTTGTAGGTGGAGTGAGGATTCCAACCTATTTTTCTCTGCCTCCAAAACCTACCTGTTTTGTCCGCTGCCATGTTGTCGTTGTTTTTCAGTTTGCCTTAATTTCTACTTACATGGTGGCTGCATGGGGTAGACCAGTCATTCTGGGAGCATGAGCCCCAGACCAGCAACATCACTGTTAACTGAGAACGTGTTAGAAATGAACATTCCTGGGCTCCACCTCAGACCTATTAAGTTTGTAACTGCGCGGGGGAGGGGGGGAGGGGGGGTCCAGCACTCTGTTTTAACATGTCCTCGGGTGATCCTGATACACACTCACATTTGAGAACATCTGGTGATTTGTGCAGGGGTCATGATAAAGTGCAGATTCTTTCCGCAGGTCTGGGGGCAGACCAGAGATTCTGCATATTCCTAATGCCTGTCTGGGTGATGCGGAAAGTACCAGCCCCCAGACCGTAGTTTGAGTGGCAAGGGTGTGAACCACATTTAGAGCAAGCCGTTCTCAAACTTGGATGCACATGAGCATTACTTGGGGAGCTTTTTGAAAAGAGGCTCCCTGGACCCCACCCCTGACCGAATGAATCAGAACCTCTTGGGTGTGGCAGCGGGTAAAAACTCACCAGGTGATTCTAACATAGAGCAAGAATTCAGAAGTACTGGCGTGGGGTGTGGAGTCAGGCAGCCAAAGAGTTGAACCTCCGTTTATCCACTGTGTGACCTTAGGCAAGTCACGTAACGTCTTTTGGTCATATTTTCCGTATTTATAAAACGAGTGAGAGTAATTCTTGGCTTGCCCGGTAGCGGAAGGATTCTGTGAGATGTGTACCTAAAGCACATGGCCTCGAAGGGCCTTCCACAGACACAGAAGCCGGGGAGGGAGGCAGGCTCGGAGGAATCTGCGCGGGGAACTGCATGCTAGGACCTAGTGGAGGGGAGCTGGCCACTGCAGCCCCTGACCTGCTACAGCTCCCATCCGTGTGCTCCTCCTCCCGCAGCCCCCGGCCTTCGGTGCGGAAGAATGGCAGTGAGCCACTCCGTGAAGGAGCGCACCATCTCTGAGAACAGCCTCATCATCCTGCTGCAGGGCCTCCAGGGCCAGGTAACCACGGTGGACCTGAGAGACGAGAGTGTGGCCCGCGGCCGCATCGACAATGTCGACGCTTTCATGAACATCCGCCTGGCCAACGTCACCTACACCGACCGCTGGGGGCATCAGGTCGAGCTGGATGACCTCTTCGTGACAGGCCGTAATGTCCGTTATGTCCACATCCCAGATGACGTGAACATCACAGCGACCATCGAGCAACAGCTGCAGGTCATCCACCGGGTGCGCAACTTCGGCGGCAAGGGCCAAGGGCGGCGGGAATTTCCCTCCAAGAAGTATAAATGAGCCCGCTCGTCCGCAAGACCCCCACCCCCACCCCGTCCCCACTCAAGTTCGTCCAGAGTTCTACTGAGCCAGCCACCGGCCGCCCCTCCCTGCCCGGAACCCAGAGAGAGAGCGGGGCCGGCCCAGAAACTGGTGTCTCTGATGGACACCCCTGTCACAGCTACCTTTCACAGGGTCCCATCTCCTAGATTCACCCTGGGGTCCTGTCTCTCTGTCTGTGGCCTTGGGGTAGAGGACATTGATCACCTTGTGATCATTTGCATCGGAATCTGATCTACTGATGTAGGGGATCTGCCAAGTAGTTTTCAGCCCTCTCCCAGTGAGAGTTACCAAGTGTACTTAGCCCGCGCCGCCCCTCACTGTTCCCATTTCCCACAGTTGTGTTTGCTTTCTCATAAAACTTGGATACAAACAAGTCGATGCCTCATGCTTCCTCTGACGTGTGCTGGGCTCTATGTCGTCCTGCATAGCAGGGCAGTGACCTCACACTTGGCAGCCGATCGCGGTCCCCTGTCCCGCCATCAGCTCAGATTGAATTGGTATGGAGCGTAGGTGGGCATTGGGTTCTTTCCTTTTTTGAAGTTTCTCGGGTGATACTAACAAGCAGCAGATTTTGAGAATCGTAGGCGAGCCTTCAGTCTAGCCACGTGGAAAGTGGCTTTTCTGTTCAGATTGCCTGTTGAAGAGGCTGTTCGTCTCATTGCTCTTTCCTGAGGTAGAGCTTGAGGGAATCCTGGGCCCTCCCCTCAAGTATGGGCGCTCCGCCAACAGCAAGAAATCAGGTTCCAGTTCTGAGAGTTTTGGGGTCCTCAGGGAAGAAGGGATGCTCACGGATAGAACCCAGGTCTTTGTCATAGCTGCCCCGCAGCCACACCAGCATGGCCACGGACAAACAGCCATGTCAGTTAAAGCGGCTGTGTCCTCATCAGATGTCCACAGAGCAGCTGCCGTGTGCCAGGCCTTCTGCTGAGCACACATTGTTGAATAAGATTTTGTCCCTTCCAAGGAGGGGCTTACAGTCTAGTGGAGGAGGTAGTCCAGGACTGCGAGATGAAATCCAGCCTGAGAACTTGCTGCGCTAGAGTCCTGAGTAAGGCAGGGCCTTGGACTTTAAGATACTTTCATTTCTTGAGGGGCACTTTGAGAGGGGTGTTCACCGGGGCACTAGCAGCCCAAGGTCCCTGCATTCACACTCTCGCCCAATGTGAACCAAAGTGCCGTCCTTGAGTGTTGTCCTTGGACCATTTCATCAGAACCAACCTGAATGTGTCTGGAAAAGCCAGTTTCCCCTTCCCCAGATGTGAACCAGAAACCAGAGGGCAGACACAGAAGGGAGGTCCTCACTGTGGAAATGGCTGTGTACTTGGGGCAAGCGGGCGGAGGGGGGGGCCACCCTGTCCCCTGTGCGGGGAGTCCCACAGAACTTCCATTCCAGATGTTTCCCACATGTCTGCAAATGTTTACAGACTTGAAGAGGGCTCATGCCAGGAGCGTGGCCTGGAGATGAAGGTGAGGTCCAGCTCTTTTAAGTGGTGTGCCAGGGGCCTGTGCATGCTCTGCAGAGCCAGGGGGAGCCCCCAGGCCGGAGAGAGAAGTGGTAAGGTCAGCAAGGACAGCTGAGAAGAGGGGCTCAGACCGAAGCACTCTGTCCTCCTTCCATAAGCATCTTGCGCCAGCCCCCGATGGATCCTCTCGTCCCCAGGTGAGGCGCTGGAAGGATAGACCAGAAGGCCCGCTGAGACACACTCGTGCTGAGCCCCTGGAGTAGAGTACAGTGAAGGCTTCAAACCCCAAGGATATGGGTCCTCCGGCGCCTGGTTCTGGATTGTTGGGGGGGGGCGGGCAGGAAGGCTGGGGAGCTCAGTGTGGCAAGGCAGAATTCCCTAACTGCCACACACCCTCCGTGCCACAGGTATCGCTGGTGATGGTGCGAGCCACCGAGGGAACATCACGGTGGACAAGGGTCCTGCCCTCAGGAAGCTGACATTCCGGACAGCGAGACTGACAATAAAGAAAAAGAGTAAAAATTCTTGCAGTTGTCATGAAGGAACTAAACAGGGTACTTGAGAGAGAACACGGAGGTGGTTTTATTTTGGAAAGTGTGGTCTGAAGAAGCGAAATGTAAACCGAGAAGGAGACTGCCGTTTCAAGAGCCAAGGGAAGGCAGAGGACACCAGGGCAAAGGTCCTAGGTGGGAATGCTTGGCGCCTGGGGGCAATAACGGAGCACCGCTGTGACTGTCAGAGGGTGAGGGGCAGGTGAGGCTAGAGAAAGGGACAGGGCTGGGGCACGTGACACCAGGCCTTGTGGGTAATGAGTGTGGCCGGTTCCAGTTTCCCGTGTGTGAGAAGCAGAACTCGAATTCTTCCTAATTCAACTGAGTTCCTACTTCACCCCATTCAGCCAGAGTGGCAGACACTTAATTAAGCAGCCGATTCAAAGTTCTCCTCAGTTTCATTGGAACTGGATGAAAGTTAGGGCATTTCCTTTTAACGCGCCCAACATGGGAAAGGTGCTCTGGTTTGGTGCTCATCCAATCGCACTAACATCCACTGAGATGCCCTCATTTTCTCCTGGTCCTTTGTCATCAGCCCGTTAAGGCTGCCACCAAGAATTGCCCCTCCCTGACCCAATGACCCCTTCAGGAGTAACCCATACCCCTCCCAGCATTTAGATTTTGATTCTACTTATCCCAGGCCATATTAGGTCCAGGAGATTCTCAGGCTCTGGGGTTAGATAGGCCCGGTTTGCCCAAATGCAGCACACAGCTGTTTCTTCAGACGGTTTGGTTATTTCCTGGCACTTGCCCAGGAAAAGAGCACAATTCTCCATGCTCCCCAGTCCCTGAGACCCAGCTGACACTGTGCAGCTCAAAGCTGAAGAGAAGCATGTCTCTTTTCAGGGAGCACCCTAAGCCTCAAGTCTCCCACATCCCCCTTGCTACAGTTTTCTAAATTTGTACGTGCACAGAAATTCTTTCCATTCCTCCCTGAAGGCTAGGCTTTTAGAATTCAGAAGCTAAAAATGAGTTCTGCGTTTTGTTGCATCCTTTGTTTCGTGAAGCCATGAAGGCAAAGTAACCTAATGATCTGCATAAGGAAAGAAAGGGACACCAAGGAAAAGATGAAGAACCTATTTCCAAATGTTATCTCCCCCTTGGATTTGGTGTTTTGCTGCTCATTGCCTCGGCCTTCGTCCTTCAGTCAAGCATGCGCAACCACCAACATGGGGGGCCCAGCTGATGACTGAGACCCCAGGAATTCTGAGTGCTCACGTGGACTGGTGGGTCCCCATCTCACTCTGCCTTCTTGGAGAGAAGAGTCGGGGGGGGTGTCTATGTCATTCAGGGGAGGGGACTGCCAGGGTGGGCATATTGCTTGAAGTTCAGACCTCCCTGGGCCCATACGAGTGACAGGGCACCACTGGCTCTCAGCTGGATGGGACGTGAAGGAGAGACCCAGCTCACTGAGTTCCAGCCCGGCATCCTCAGCCACAGGGGCCCTGAGGTAGCAGGGGCCCCTTGAGCTCCTGTCAATGTTCCAGAAAGGACCCGGAGAGACAGCACATAGTATGTGAAGGGTGACCAAGCTGGTGTGCTCTCTGCTTCGGGCTGGAATTAGCCTGATCACTAGCCCTAGCAGCTGTAAAATGAGGTTATAATCAATAAAAAAAGGAAGAAGTGACTTGATGTCGGTTTATGGGAGACAAAATCTTATCAGATGTAAGGCTCCTGAGGGAAAATACTAAGAGAAGCTTTGACAGCAAGAAGATTGGGAACCACTGATCCAATTCAACCCTGTCATCTTACAGTTGAGGAAACTGATGGAAGATGGCCATCATAAATAGCTACCACTTGCTGCCTGATTGTGGGCCCGGGCCCAGGCCAGGGCCTGCAGGGGAGCAGAGCCATAGTCTATTTGGTCCCCGGGACCCCCACCATCTAGCTCAGTGCTCTGAACATAGCAGGCACACCATAAATCTTCGAGGAATGGAAGAGTCCTCTCCTTTCATCATTATAACAGCCTTGGAGGTATATGTTAATAGCCTCATTTTACAGATGAGTCAACAGGCCCCCGAGAGGTTAAGTGACTTGCTCAAGATCGAAGAGCCAGTGACCCACACGATGGGGATTTGAACTCAAGCCTGTATGACTCACACTCCATGATTTTAACCACTACACCGCACTGTTCTGTTTCCCACCTCCTGACATCACACCGATGGCAAAGATCAACAGTATCTCCACTCACCTCAGTGGTGGTACCCACCGGTCGTCGCGCTGGCTGGCACTCAGAACTTGTCACACCCCGGCCTTGGGGCTTGGCCATGAGAAGCCAGAAGCCGGCAGTGAGTAGGGTTTGCCGGGTTACAGAAGCCTGAGGAAGCTCCTCAGGGTTGAAGGTTTCTTCCTCTCTTTCGGTGATAGTCAGATCTGCCTATACCTCATCAAGCAACCATCTCTGCTGTTGTGACAGGCGTCACTTTGTTATGGCAGTACCATCTGCCAGTATGCCCAAAGTTGGAGAGCCAGCAAGCAGCAGGAGACTATGTCACCGTGTGTGTGTGTGTGTGTGTGTGTGTGTGTGTGTGTGTGAGCAGTCTCCTCATGTTGGTGGTGTCCTGAAATGAAATGCTTTTCATTTCCTCTGGCTGGCACCTTTCCTTTCTATTCATTACCTCTTCTCCTCTCTTTTTCTTCCTTCTCCTCCTCTTCTTTGTTAAAATCCTATATTTTGAAGCAGCTGAAAGTCTGGGGGGGGGGGGGCCGTGGGGATGGTGGTGTCAGCTCCAAGTGATTCATCTAGCTGATAATTAGAGCTCTGGAAACCCCAAAACTCATTCCTGGCAGACTCAGGGCTTCCGGAATCCCTAGGTTTTCCCCTTTGTCAGAAGCTGGGGGCGGGGGGGCGCTGTGGCCTGGCCTCTTGTATCTGACTCAGTCCCCAACGTTACAGAAGCCCTGTAACAGAAGTGAGTGTGACCACTTTTACTGGCCAGGTGCCGTGAGAAGCTGTTTCCATACTCACTGAATCTTCTCGGTGATCCCGTGAGCTGTAATCCCTGTTTTGACAGACCGGGAAGGTCGGGGAACTTAACGTGGAGTCACTCAGCTTGTGGGAGGTGCAGCAAGGACTCAAATCTATAACCTTTTGGGAATCTGCTGTATTTGGTTCCAATCACAGCCCTGCCACTATTAGCTGGACAGGTTACTTCCCCTCTCAGAGCTCTAGCTGCTGCATCTGTAAACAGACTCCCAATGCTGATTAACACAGCACATAACACAACAGTGGGAGCTGTCTTGATTCCTGCTGTCACTTAGCCCTATCAGCTTCGTGGGCACCAGGCATTCAGAGAGACAAAGAGACACACGAGAAGGCAGCCAGGCTCACTCCCACCGTCTCTCGTGCAGGTGACAAATGCACATACATGTAAGCA